ATGATTAACGCACCAAAAAAAAAAAAAAACCCAACTCAGAACCTGTCTATTTCTTTAACCATTTCATTTCATCACTGAGTGACAGCAGCAGCAGAGATGAATAAATAACACGTCTGTTTTCTAATCTGATACATGTATATCTGTGGATACTGTCAAAGGAGTAAAATATGACGAACTCAGAACTTTATGGAAAAATACCAGTGAATATTAGACCAAATGGGCTAAATCACCAGAGACTTTGGACCAGAGCAGGGCTAAAACACTGGCAAATACTGGACCAAACATATTGCAAAACTGGATATAACCAGGGCTAAAATACCTGTAAATATTAGACAGAAAAGTTGTTAAAACACCAGTAATTATTGGAGCATTTGAGGCTAAAACAGCAGAGAATATACTGTATAAAGACACGTCTAAGACACACAGTGAATGTTTGACGATACATATGCTAAACACCAGCAAATATTAAACCAAACCAGGACTAAACACCAGATAACAGTGGACTGAACCAGGGCTAAACACCAGATAACAGTGGACTGAACCAGGGCTAAACACTAGATAATACTGGAAAACAGGACTCAAACACCAGCAAATATTGAACCAAAGCAGGGCATCGAACCACAGCTAATCCAACACAGAAGTCTGGCCCAGACCTGGTGAATATAGATTCAAACCGGGGCTTAAACACCAGAGTGTAGTCGACCAAACCGGGAATATAACACTAGTGAATACTGGTGAACACAAAGTGGACTGCAGTTGGATGACGGTGCTTCTCTGCTGCTTCTTTACTAATTTCTTGTTAACGTGTTGGCCTTGAGACCTCGATGAGTTCATGTAGCACATCGAGACTTGTGGCAGTTTGTGTTTTTTCCACTTTCCGCCCTCTAGCGTTGAAAACTCACTTAATGCAGCTTCAACTGCTCGACGAGGTCAGTCCGGATGAAAATAGACTTGTTTGCTGTGTCAGCACTCAGGAACATGAATAGAGCCACTCAGGCTCAAGAAACAAACTACACCTTATACCAACACCAGGTGTGTTTTCAGTCAGGCAGTCAGCTGAAGTCAGGGTGCAGGAGAGGAGAGAGGAGAGAGGAGGAGAGCGGAGGAGGATCAGGAGGCGTAATAGCAGTAAATCCATGAAAACATTTTCTCTTCTCTCTCATGGAAACTGCAGCTGAGAAAACACTGCTGGAAATTAGTAGCCAGGAACTACTGGAAGCACGCCTACACACACACACACACACACACACACACTGAACATACTAACACACACATACTTAGCACACACACACACACACACACACACCCTACACGCTGGCTGTGTTTCATGCTGCTGCTCAGTTTTGTTAAACAAACTTTACTCCCATCAGTGGTAAATCGCTGAAGGTCTGAAGGTTCAACTCTTTACGTTGGTCTGGTTCTGACTATATTTAGATTTGTTTTTACATCAATCAGGGTATAAACATTTTCACAGGTTGTGTCTGAGTCTTATAGAAGAGTTTCAGAGCAGTTAAAGTGTAAAGATCGTCACACACCTCCATCATTTTCAAGTTTTGCACCAAGTTTTCATACTCAGTGTTTCCTAAGTGGAGATTTATTTAATCACTAAATTGAAACAGGGTCCACCACACACACTATTGTTGTTACCAGCCATGGCAGTGTTGCTGGTGTTGTTTTCACCTTGTGTGTCATCATGGTCAAATGTGGTTCTGGACTGAGCGATAGTAGTAGTAGTCTCATTTAGACACGTTAGCAACCGGCCTTTTTTACCAGATGTAAAAGCTTAAAGAAATCAGGACCGGAGTATTTACTGACATCTTTTATGTCGTAGAATAAAACGTGAAAATGTATTGAGCTTGTGTTAACCACAGACTTATTTCAGTCATCGAACCACACTCAAACTAGAATCACCTCTTCGTGGTCGTATCCCTCCGCCACTCAGACTAGTTCCAGGTTATTTCCCTGTTTATCCAGAGTCAGAGACAATATGAACCATTAGTGTGAAATTTTGTCATAATTGCTGTGTGAAGTCGTGAGGAATGGCTAAAAAGTGTTTTGTGAGGTCACACTGACCTCGACCTTTGACCTTTAACCACCAAAATCTAATCAGTTCGTCCTTGAGTCCCGGTGGACATTTGTGCCAAACCTGAAGGGATTCCCTTGAGGAGTTCTTGAAATATTAAGGCCAAAACGGCAGTTTTCCAGAGGTCACTGTGACATTGACCTTTGACCCTCTTTGCCACCAAAGTCTAATCAGCTCACCCTTCAGTCCTAGTGAATGTTGGTGCCACATTTGAAGAAGTTCTGTCGAGGTGTTACTGAGATATCGTGTCCACGACGCTGTGATGGACGGAGGAATAAAAACTCACAGAATAACATCAAACCACGTTTTCTAAAATTCATGTTTAATGGTTCAAACTGCTGTGAAGTCCAGAGTTCACAATATCAGAGTGTTAGTATAGTTTACTGGTAAAAGTAGTGTAGTATTGAGTGTTAGTGTGTTTACATGAACAGAGATACGGTGCGATAATGAGAGTACTGTGAATCAGAGGCTGTGTTCAGACAGCAGGGACTCAGTCTGCAGCTCGTCCGATGAAGAAGGACCATAAGTCTTTGTTGACGTGTCACATGTCGGTAAACCGCAGGTGTAAACAATAAAACAAATGATGGCTGGATTCAATTTAGCTGCTTCAGTCTCAGGGTCCCGGTACTGTGCACGCTCAGTGACACTATGACGACACGTCAGCTGTGAAAAAGGCCTTTAAATAACTTTCCTGTCTGCAATATGAATGTTGATCCTGACGGCAGGGTTTAATGGACGGTTCCCGGAGCGTTCGTGAGGGTGAAGACCAGCTGGCTGCCATGTGATGTGATGACTCAGGTTCACAGGGACGCCAGAGCATCTCAGAAACCAGCTGGTCTTCACCTTCACCAACAAAACACAGAACCAGACTTCCCCTCGTGTTCAGGTACAGTCACATTCGTCCTCCGCTCATCAAAGGTCGCGATGGTGCGGTTATGATGCGGGTAATCAATCAATATAGACATACTGATCAGAGTGACGCTACACTTTGTGGTCTAGTGTCGTGGTGATGACGGTGGAGTAAATAACTTAATCATGTCCTATTTCTGCTGTTGGACTTGTCCAAATCTGCACAATCAAAGATGAACGAAGGTGACCCCTGACCTCTGTGGCCTGAAGTCGCCTGTGTTGCAGGTTTCAGCAGAAGCGAATAGGAAACAGAGTGAATGTTCATAAATACAGGAACAGGAAATAGGAAATACATCAATCAACAAGCAGCGGGTTTTAAATTCCACTTCCCCACGGATCATCTGTACGTCACATGACAAAAGTCAAAGTCAAAAAGTAAAAAAAAAAAAAAGATTAACGCTGATTGAAGTGAGCAGAGCTGCAACTAATGATTATTTCCTTTATCAATTAACCTGATAGTTAGTTATTGATTAATCACTGAACTGTCAGAGACGTGTGTGAACACTTTTCTGAAGCCAAAGGTGATATTCATCAGATCGTTTGTTTTCTTCAACCGAAATGTGAAGAAACGATCAATCGATTAACAAAAACAGTTGCCAATTATTTTACTCTCGGTTCTCTGATCAATTAATGGTTGCAGCTCTAAAAGTGATCAGTTCACATAGTACAGTAATCTGGAGTCTGGAGTGTGCCATTTTAAGTTATGCATAAAAAAAACAACCTAAATTTAAATTATAGTTATAAAAATATTAAAAGGCTTTAAAATGTAAATTTTTGTTATTGATCATATTCCACCTCAGATTTGATTTTTTCCGTCTCATGAATTTACAGTTTCCAAGTCATGAGTTTGTTTGATTCTTGTTTTTTTTAACATTAATCAAAGTAATAACTGATCATGGTCAAACACTGTGATCATTATTCCAGGGTCACACTCCAAACTCCTCTCGTTCACATTTACCTAAACAAGAAATAAAGACAGTTTGTTGTTTCCTGTTGTCGTGACCTATTGAGACCAGATGAGCTGCTGCTGTTTTTCTGTGGTAGTTTTATTTATTTATTATTTTATTTCTATCTGATTTTTAGCTGTTTGTGGTCATTTTATGAGTCTTCGTGGTAGTTTTGTGTATCTTGGTAGTCATTTCTATATGGTTTGTAGTCGGTTTGTGAGTCTATGTGGCTGTTTGGTGCCTTTTTGTGGTCATTTAATGCATCTTTGCAGTCGTTTTGTGTCTCTTTAATGTACTTTTGAGTCTCTTTGTAGTAGTATTGCAGTATCTATAGTATTTTTTGTGTCTCTTTATCGTCTTTATGTGTCTCTTTGTAGCTCTATGATTGAGAAATGTTAACAGTCTCTTCAAACAGACGCTCTGGCCCGTCCAGTAATCCAGTGAACTCTCTGCTGCTGCCTGAACACAGCGTGAATAATCTTCTTTCCTTCCTTTCTGCAGAGTTCAGTAAAGTTCCGGTCGTGGCTACAGACCGATCATAGTCCAAATGTCGAAGTCCAAATGGCTTTCGCATCATTTAAATGTCCTCCATCCCATCACCATGGTGACATGGCCAACATCCAGGATTATTATTAAAGACTGTGACCATGGAGAGGAGCTGTGGAGCCAACATGGCCGCCGCTGAAAAGAAATTTGTTCCAAAAAAGTGTCATGTACAGACTGTAGGGCTGTGCGTAGGTTTAGTACTACAGCTTACAAACATACGTCTTTATTGAGTGCTTTAGGTGTACACACACACATGCGCACACACATGCACGCACGAACACACACACACACACATTCACAAACACTTCACACACATACAAACACACACACACTGACAAACACACACTCTAAACGCACACTAAATAATGTTTGTGCAAAGAAAATAAATGACAAAAATCAGACTCCAGCAGTCTGACAGATGAAGAGATGAACTACATTCAGCTACAACAGCCTGTGATAGTGCAATATCTACACACACACACACACAAACACACACACGTGCACACACACACACACACACACACACACGTGCACACACACACACACACACACACACACACACACACACACACACACACACACAGTCAGATCTCAGTGGCGATTCCGGCGCTGATTCCCTTGGCCTTTCCCCTGCAGGATCTGATCCCATCTCTGGACAGAAAGACAGACAGGAAGTGAAACTGAAGTCAGTGGAAGGACGCCACATTACGATGTGTGTAACAACAGTTCAGTACAAATCAGTATTGACTTAAAAAAAGCCTCCACCTGTACAACTGCTGATGTGTGTACATAGAAAATAAATGTGTTGTCTGTTTGTGTGCAGCTGGATGTGAATCACACCTTGACCTTCCTGCCCATTTTGTCCTTCCACCTCTGAGCAATGGAGCCGTCAATCAGAAGCAACCTACAACCACAAAACCAGAGTGAGCAGCGTTTTATAAAGGAGACATTTTATAAGATTAGTCTTATTTAGCTTCAAGGAAAATGAGCAGCTGTGCTACACAACAAGGAACATATATTATTATGGAGGCACAGAAATGAATCACAGTAGCACATTACAGAGTGAGGAGAAAAAGAAAACCTTCAGGGTTTTTATAAGTTGTACAAAGAAGAGACAAACAGCCGAATCAGAAGCTGATGTTTGAGATAAACATTTACAAGTCAGACAACGCACTGAAGCTAATTTGAAAACCACCAATTGGACAGATGCTTTACCCCGAAGAGCCTGAATCTAATTGGAGTTTAAAGGTCTTATCAACTAGTTGGACTTGTTTTTAGCTGCTCGTACCGGGACGTCTCCTCGTTCTCGTAGCCCATGATGAGGTACTCATCCCCCGGAGTCAGAGGAGGACACAGGCAGGAGGACGAGTAGTAGAGCGTCTGCGTCTCCTTGGGAATGTTGACCAGGGAAGACTTGAGCACCTCCTTCACGTCCACCACCGCCGTGGGCTCCAGGCCGCGATTCCTCACCTCCCGCACCCTCGCCCTGATCACTGAAAGAGAGAGTCGTCGGCGTACAGGGACACATTGGATAAGGGGGTTGAAAAGAATAAAAGCTTAAATCATTATTTGACTTTCCCTGGGCTTAGATAGTGTCTTCTGAATCGCTGCCTGCATCCCAGATTTTTTAGCAATTCAGAGTGCTCACTAATGGTTGTTCCCCAGTTGGAAAAACAGTTGACGAACCAGAGGTTTGTCGGCGAGATTAAGTAGAGAGGGGGCGTCATCTTCCTTTGCCAGGGCCGCAAAAATGGCCAGAAGAATCCAACAAGCATGGACACCAGCTGTTCTCCTATGACAACTGATCAGTTTTCTCCAGTTTCACTGCGAGCATATGGAGTTTCAGTGGGTGGGGCAAATAAATGAATCAATAATTAAGAACAAGACCGACTTCCCTGCGGTGTAGTTCTCATGCAGCCTATTTAAAACCTGTGTTTGTCCATTGGACAGACTTGTAGTTTTGGTGCTGCCAAATTCCTTGATGACATTTTGTCCAGACGACTGGTTCTAAAGACAGACACTGTGTGAAGGCCCGGTCGCAACAGTATTTAAAAATGGCCGCCACAAAAGAAATATCACCAAAATCAGCACACATTTTTTGCACCCACTTCAATTTCACAGTAAAAATTATGCAAATTTGTGTCACTGACCAACAGCAAACTGTCTTGACGGGGCTGACATTTGCAGGAATGCAGAGTCAGAGAGATCAAAATGGAGGAAGCTATCGTAGCTGCTGTTATTAGCCACGATGCACCATCCACTTTCATTGAACCTGGAATGGTTTGCAGATTGTTTTAAATGTACTTTGTGAACTTATTGTCAAAATTCCCAGAGTAAAATACCAGCGGAGGGCAGTAAACATTTCGTGACGGAGAAAATACAAAGTAGCTCAGAGAGTTATTGAGCGCTAGCCCAGCTGGCTAGCATATTAATGGTTAGCTTGCAAGCTACAGCAGTTTACCAGCTAGCCCTGTGAGTAGTAACTATGTCAACAAACTTGTTGAACCAAAGGTTTTTCGCAAAGACCTGCGGAGACATTTCCCTGTTCCTTCTGTGGCGCTGCTTTGATGGAGAGAACATCCAAACAGAGCGGTGGAAATTTTCACAATTAAGACATATTTCATTGGACTTTTACAGTATTTTACAGTAAAACTAGAAATTTATATGTTATAAACCTTTTGTGTTTTAAATTTCTGGGAGCAGTTGCTTTGAAACTGGTTAAACCTGTTTTCTGTCATGCTACCTTGGCTCCAACAGCATAAAATAATATGAATATACCTGTCTAGGTGAACATTAATTGGGAGTTAACAAAACAAATAATATACATAATGCACCAGAACAGAAATACTCCAGCGCTAAGAAAGAGGTGGAGGCTGCAGAGTTGTGTGGTGCAGCAGGTCAGAGTCGTAGGTAATATCAGCAGCAGTGTTAAGAAGCGAGTTCCAGCAGGCAGATTATAAAGACCACCTTGACGTGCACTCTGACATGCCACCATGCTTCACTAAACTACTCTGTTTTAATTATATCTGAATATTTTTAACGTGAGCTCTTGTTTTTAATGACGGCTGGAAAAAATCTAAAAATCTTCCCCGAATGGATTCTGTGGCCAAAGGCATTAGTGAGGCCCAGAAGTCCACATGGAAATCTCTGCTGGATTTGCCAAATCATGCCTGTGCGCTGCAATCATCTGGAAAAGCCTTTCTGGTCTTTTAGCTTTTGTGTGTCTAATTTAATCTAAGTAACCTAACAGCCTCTGCACCGAAATCTTTCCCACTACACGGAGAAAAACAGGCCAGAGAGAGAGAATCCGCTGAAGAGTTCAGTGATTCTGTAAAGACCTTTTAACAGAGTCCTTGAGCTGTACAGTTAAGGCTTGAAACAGGGGGAGTAAAAAGTATTCAGACTTGCTGAGTAGTTATGAGGTGATGTGGATTTCTCACATGTAGCGCTCAGTGTGTGTTTGGCTGTCAGACGTGATGCCGAGTCCGGATTCCCACTTAAAACTTTCAACGTCTAGTTTGGAAATGTACCGAAAAATAAACACAGACTTACAATTTTTATGATGCAATTTGCATCATAAATTGCAGCCCTTCTTCTCAGAATCATATGTATGTGCTTCTCTTATATATTACAACAGAAATGAATGCAATCTAAAACATGAAAGCAACCTGAACGCTGCTGAGAGCTGCAGATTTACTGGTGATTCTAAGTGTGATCCACAGGAATGGAAACACTTCACCATGACAGGGAAGGATTTGGTTGCTTAGATCCGACAATATTATTATATTATCTCACATACAGATAACTTATATATTAATGATAAGGTACTACTATAGATAATTATGTCAGAATAAAACACAAATTTCATAAAAATCGGACACAGTCCAAGACGACTCACCGTAGTTGTAGTTGTTCCTCTCGTAGGTTTTCAAAATCATTCGGACCGGCTTACATTTACAGCGATCTGCACACACACACACACACACACACACACACACACACACACACACACACACACAGACATTGTGTTCAGGCCCCACCTCCATAAAAGTCCACATTTCTGGACTGAATTTGTCATGCTGTCTTCACCTCATATGTCCCTTGTGACGAAAGGAAAGAGTTGGAAAGTTTCCTACAACGATGACGATCGCCTCAGCTCAGGATGGCTGTGTGACTGTCGGTGGTGTGTCGCAGTGTATCCAGAAATCTACTGTTTTTAATAACCTTGAACGATGGGCTGACATCTGAAAAGGCGATGCTGTTTTATCGCTGTCAAATTTGCAAAATGACGATGATTCTGAAGTTCTGCTGTTTATTATGTGGAGAATAGTTAACGAGTGATTGAGGGAGTGATTTTGGATTGGATTGATTTTCCCCAGTATCCCAGAATGCATTGCACGCTGGCTCATGTACCTTAACGCCACGTTCTCGTCGTATGGGATGGATGGTACTCGTGAGCGTTCATGTATTCCAGATGGTTGTATAATAACAGCTGGTTGTGTGAATGTTAATATTCTGACAATATAACACCGTGTCCATTAAGTTTAGGTTTAATCACATTGAACGACAGTTATTACCTGATGTGACGCATCCAGAGTTTGTTTGGTTTTCAGGCACTTTTGTAATAATTCAGTTTTTTGGCAGTAATCAGTCGGATGTGTCTGAGCTTCCCTGGTGTAATAATGACCTGGATGTTGAGGTGAACGTTATTTATAAGTCAGAAGCTTTTAATTATGAGATCTTTCGATATGAAATGAATGTTGGGATAAACCGTCGGAGGTACAGACAGGTAGAAAGACAGGTTACCTCCGTTGGGTCCTCTGCAGTGGAAGTTGTTGGAATCCATTGGGAAGTCTGGACTGGATTCTGTCAGAGGGTGAAACACAGTGTTTAGCATGCTGGTGAGAAAAACATGGTTCACCAAAATCCACCTGATATCGCATCAACCAGCGGACACGTCAGGCTGTAGCTTCTGGGGAAAGAAAGAGAAAGTCAAAGGTCAGCCTCACCTGGATTACACCTGGCTGGGTCCTGGTAGTACGGATCTACAGAGACACACAGAGAGAGAGAGAGACGCCGGTCAGTGTCAGAACACAGGGAAAACATATCATCTTGTTTCTTCAGTTCATACGGGTTTTTCTGGTCGTGGAAGACAATGGAAGAAAAAACTGGAACTTCAACAAGGAGCCGGTCCAGAGCCTGGTCCTGGTGATGGGTCGGCCGTGTGGAGTTGAGGAAGTTATTATCATATCTGTTATTATTCATGAGAACAACTGAGGTCAAACACTACGAGCGTCGTCTCCCCTCTCCCACTGACAGCTGACTTTTCATCCCAGCTTCAAGTGGCCGCTCAGAACGATATTATGACTTTTGAGTTCCAGTTTCTTTCTTGACGACACGTCAAAAGCACCAGATCTGATCAAAACGAGGGTTTGACTGTGACACGTCTGACGATGACAAACCAACCAATCAGAATATGAGATGAAATGATGCAGAATACATCGGCCAATTCTTTAATTGCTGTTTTTTACTCACATTTTTCTGTAGCTACAACCTGGTCCTCCTCCTCCTCCTCCTCCTCCTCCTCCTCTCGTAGTTTTTCAATGTCTAGAAGTGGCCAAAACCTCTTTATTACCTCCATCACAGAGGTTCTGTTTTCACTCATGAGTGAATTGGTTTGTTTGTGTGTTTGGCAGCAGGATTACGCTAAAAAGTAGTTAACTGATTTGCACCGAGCTTGGAGGAGAGCTGGGGCCTGGGACACGGAAGAACTCGTTAAATTTTGGGGCAGATCTGAACGATTTACTCTGAATTAGATTTTTGTTTCTCTGGACTCTGGTGTGTTTTGTTTGACATTGTCTTTGGCTGAAGTCTTTGCTCTCTGAGAACCTGTCCAGTTGTTTTGCTGCATTTTCAAAGCATTAGAGGATGACCTCAGCTGATGATGTGTCTCTGCTGTCATATGTTTTGTTTTTCTATTTACACTGTAGACCCATGTTTCACCAGGAATCCACTGCAGAGTGTGACGTCCCTCAAACTGATATCAGTCATTTTTTATTAGATTTTATTAGATCCGTCCTGCACAGTGTGACATGCAGTAAACTTAGTGAGCAACAAACGGAGACAAACTGTGGCTGCTTCAGATTTCTGTTCCAACAGGAGACAAACTTCTTAAAGCAACATTCAGACAGGAGTCCTGCTGAAAATCACTGGAACGACTTAAACGATCCACCCTGACTGAACCTCAGCAAATCAACAACTCACACCGAGGGAAAATCCCAAAGCCCTGCTGAGCCGAGCCGAGCCAGGGCGGCTAGGAGATACGTGGGTGTACCGTTATGGAAGTCGAGGGGATTGAGATTTTTTCAGGACTCGCTGGTCCATGGCCTGTTTAAAGAAGCAGAGGACAGTGAGGGTTTTATTGAGTGTAAAACGAGTGGGCCGCCTGTATCAAAGAGCTCTTTGAGAAAGTCAGTGGGAGTGAAGTCGGAGGGGAAATGACTCACGCTATCTGTTCGAGAGCGAGCAGAAACAAACTGCTGAGAGTAGAAACATGATAGAAAACACTGATAAGGTTCAGCTAAGCAGGGACTAACTGCTTCCTGATGGTCTTTATTCAGAAGTCACCTCCGTATTACGACTGTTAAGACTTTGTACCATTAAAGAAGTCGCTGATATTAAAAGACTGATAATAACTGAGAGGTTCTGTGTTGTCAACTTTCCATAACTTGAGATTTCTGTCCATATTTCATTTCAAGAACATTGTATTTTTACTAAGGGAGTTTTGTGTAGATTGTTCTCATCGCTGTCTAAAACAGTAAAAATACTGTTACAGATATCACAATCCTAATATATCAAATAAATAATTATATACAAGAAAACAGATTTTGTACAAAGCAGTCAACATGTTTTTGTCAAATCTCATGCAATTTTCTCTAAAGTCTTTAATCTTGCAGGAAACCAACCAATCACCAGCTGCCTCGGTACAAGCACAGCACTCTTACATGCAGTGTAATGATGATAACATCAACGATAAAACAGTGATACCTGGTCCCTCTGCCTTGACGATGGCCTCAGGCGAGATGCAGACGCCGCGGTCGTACAGCGGCAGCTCGTTGCAGGCCAGGCTGTCGGGCCAGCTGTGGTTGTAACGCTTCATCACCGGCTCGCAGCCGTACTTCGCCCGCTCGCACACCGCCTTGCAGGGTTTGATGGGCTCGTGCTGGAAGTCGATGGTGCAGATGGGGGCGTACATGGCACACAGGAAGAAGAGCAAATCCGGACTGCAGCCAGTACCTGAGCACAGACAGGTGTGTGTGTTTCTGTTATTACCTTTGGTACAGTTTGAGTCGAGTCACCTGAAGTGGCTTTAAAATACTTTTAAAGTTCAACTGAACTTTTTGTGCAAGGAAAATAAACTATAATGATACCTCAGCTACAGTATTGTGCATGTTTTTCCTTTTAAAACCACTCTTGGACAAATCTGGGGAAACACTGTGTTTCAGACATCTGGGCGGATGTTTCCCATGGCAGCGGTTGAATAACATTTGAGATTTGGCATTGGTAGAAACGCCCTGTCAACTACCATGATGCACCACTAACTGGAGCATGTCATAAGAGTTGTAAAAAGGAAGAAGCTATTTTGGACAGAAAAAAATCCCCATTAATCTTCCTCATAGACAGTGTTACATGACAGTTGGAACTCGTCTGCGGTTTGGATGCACATAAAACTTTCCCAGTTAAATTGTCAGCACAAGAGATGAGCAACTGTGTTAGAAAATATCTGGTTCTTTCATAAAAAGCTAAAAAGGTACATCAGCCACATGTTTTTAAATGCCAAAACTTCTCTGGTTCCAGCTTCACCAGTGTGAATATTTGCTGTCAGATGTATTGATAATGAAAATAACTGTTAGTTGCAGCCTTGCAGAATAACTCGACCTGAGGTTTTTGTTGTGAATTCAATAACTTGACACAAAAAAAAGTATAAACAATTTGTTAATTTTGACGCAGAGTATTTCTATTTTTACTCAAGCAAAAGACCTGAGTGCTTTTTCCAACACTGCTTCTCTTACATCAGTGCAGAGACGGTGCGTTCAGAGTCCTCCCTTGCACAGCACTGCACCAGAAAGAGTTCAACACCGGGTATAGAGGACGGATCAGCGTTTTTATTGCAGGGGATGACTGAGGTTTGGCTGCACAGCTTCACAGTGAAGTCACAGAAATATTATGAACTTGTGACCTGAAACTGCCTCCTCTTTTTTTGGCCTGCAGATCTTTCATTAGGACATTTTTCTGGTTAAAGCCTTATTGCCTCTCCACTTTCTCCCTCCGCTCCTCCGACCTCAGCCAGTACCTAAAGTACAGAGTACACATCATGAAATATCATGGCAGCTAATCAGGTTATCCACCTACCTTTAAATTTGATTCCGCTTTACAGTTAAAGATTTTTTTTAAATGGGTTTTTAACCACAAATCTCAGTCCAACTCCAAATGGCACAAAACACTGAAGACTAACATCCAGAAAAGAAGTCCTGACCTAGCTAACCAGCTAACGTTGCATTTCAAAGGTGAATATAGCAGCTAAAATTTAAATATCTTCATAAATTCAAAAATCAAAAAAGACCAGAATGTAAAGTATTTTTTATTCACTTCCATTTTTAAGGCCTCAGTATGTGTACGATGTGACGTCCATGTCTAAAGTTTGTTCTAAATCTCCACAACAGCTGCCATGATTGTTCAACTGTCCGTTTCAGAAAGTTACAAAACTTGTCGATTGTGGCTGAACCAACTGTGATGTCACAGAGGTGCTGGTGAAGGGTTTTTTAACACGTTGTTTGACCACCAGCCAAGCAATTTGGATCCTGAGCCTTTTACTGTCAAACCGCAAACCAGCTGAATCAGCTGTGTATCCTCATTAAAAAGTAGCATTAATGTAGTGAATAATGACACTGTTGGAGCATGAAAACAGATGGACTTCTCAGACTAAAATCAGCTAAGAACAACTGTTGAATAAAAGGAACTGTGCAATATTTGCTTTCTACAGCGAGAGACATCACGATAAAGAAAGAAAAACTGTAGACAGTCTGTACACTGTATATTCAGTTTACAAATCGAGATAATGTATGTACAGAACGTGCAGGTTTTCAGAGCAGCATTATTAGCTAAACTTATCAAAAACACACAGAGGTTGTGATATTCGGTATCAGGAGGTATGCAGAGAAGAAACACTTCAGGCTTAGAGAGAAAACACACAGAACAGAGCTGAACACCACGTAGTTCCAGTAACAGGGTTAGCCTACCAGTCACTGTGTCAAATATAGAAACATAACTGGAATCGTTTTACTTAACCTTTCGCATATAATCCACAAACTAAATTCCATTCACAGGTCGGGTGGAGGCAGAAATCTCAGACACGTAATTCTCAAAATATTGACAATTAAACCAAAACTATCTGCATGGTCAGATACCAGCAGAGGGAGGGAGAAAATATGCTTTTTTATAATTTGGGTGAACTTTTAACATCGAGGCCAGTTTGTGTTTAATGATCAACTCCATCAATGTGAGTTTATTTTATTGCCTTCTGGACTCAAGTAAAACCATAAAATGAAGGTTTGGCAGCGGCGCAGCTGGACAGACTGGTCCTCCATCATAATGAACAGTCAAACAGTAAAACCACCTCAGCTCAACAGAACAGAACAGAGAGAACAAGAAAACACCCGCAACTGTAATATTTACTGAATTCCCACCTCAACCTGTTAAACTCACGATTTACCCTCTGAGATCTGGCGGTCATGCTAACAGTGCTCTTTGGTCAGTCCACCACTTTGGTCCAGACTGAAATATCATAAAGACTATTGGATGGACTGTTATGATCGTTTTTACAGACATTCATGGTTCCCAGAGGATGAATCCTATTGGCTTTGGTTTACTCTTGACTTTTCCTTTAGCGCCACCAGCAGGTCAAAATGTACGTTTGCTGAATATTTTCGTTTGTGACCAGCCACATGCACAGTTAATGACATTCCCATCAGCCTCATCTGTGCTCGGATTTTGGTGCTAATTAGCAAAGGTTAGCATGCTAACACGCTAAATCATGATGGTGAATGTGATAAACATTATACCTACTAAACATCAGCATGTTAGCATGTTCCCTCAGCATGCTGCTGTTGGAATTTACAGCCTCACTTAGCTGCTGGCCGCACTGCAGACTCTTCAGAGTCTTGAGCTATAAACACGCTGTAACCTCCCAAAATCCCAAAACCTTTCTTCCAGTTCCAAGTCGATGTTCTCAGTCGAGTCCTGTTCAGGATTTACAGCCAAATAAACCAAACTGAGGAAACAGTTCAGTGTCACGGTTGATTAAAGGAAATTTCTTTTTTTCTTTCCAGCTTTTGTCTTATTTGGTGAGTTTCATCCATCACTTCTATCAGCTCTGATCACATCCTCCTTTCCAACAGTTGTGCTGCCAGAACAACATCAGCTGTTTCAGGTCTGAAGGGAGACTTTAAATCACTGACTTGGAAGAGGAAACCTGCATGAACACACCCAAGTTTGTCGCTTTGTAAAACTGTTGTGAGTCCAGAAGACCACACCTTGAATATTTAAAAATATAAGTCAGAAACAAAAGTGATGGAAAACTTTTAAATGATTCATCTGTCGGTATGAAGGTTGTGAAGAAAATCTACATCAGGAATGATTCAGTTTCTTTTTGATCTTTTAATTTGAACAAGACCTGATGGAGGAGGAGGAGGAGGAGGAGGAGGAGGAAGAAGAAGAGGACCAGTCATGGCAAGAGATGATGAAGGTATGAAGAAATGTGATGCTGTTAGCGCTGCTCAGGGTTGAAGGTTTTCCTGTTGTTTTAAAAGTATTACTTCCAGTATTTTCCTGGTAACCGGAGATTTGTTGCTATAAATTAAGACTGATTTCAAAAATGGAAGATAATTAATTATAAAAACACAGATTCAGTATTTATCCAAACTGAAATGTGGTTATTTTGACCTAGTGTTTGACACATCAAGCTTAAGTTTCATCACAAGTTTAGGGCTGTAACTGACGCTTATTACCTCCACCAAAGTGGTTATTTTTTCACCCGTGTCTGTTTGTTTGTCAGAAGGATTATTCAAAAAGCACTGAGCTGATTTGCACTGAACTTGGTGGAGGGATGGGACATGGACCGGGGAAGAACCCATTACATTTTGGAGCATTTTCTACTTTTAATTAGCGGTTAGCCTGATTGTTTTCCTGGTGACCTCTTCATCCAAACAGTCCAAAACTCAAATTCACATTAGAGCTGTAACAGTCGATCGACAGGAAACTAAACAATGTTATTCTAATAATTGACCCTTTTGGTCATTTTAAGGCAAAAATGCCAAATATTTGATGGTTTCAGCTTCTCAAATGTGAGATTTTTGGTACTTTTACTTGTCTTTAACATTACAGTAGTTTTTTTCTGATGCTAATCGTTAGTTGCAGCCCTAATATATATTTTTAACAATCAGAGACATACACGTTTGAAAAGAGTTAGTGTAGATTACAACTGTTTGAAACCATATCAGTTCTTCTAGTTCTAGTTTGGGTAAATAACCCAACAGTAATGAAAAAACAGGATGACACTGGTCAAAAGGTGGTTTTCTCTGTTGGTTTTCATGGTACCAGTAAGGATAACCCAGTACTGCATTGATAATATAATTTCCCAAATTGGGTAGATTTGATTTCCAGTATTCTTCAGTATTCCAGCCACATTAAAGATCCAGGGACACCACAGTTATTTTTCCTGGGAAACTCCAACAGATTTTGGCAAGAATTCCTGGGAAATGCCAAGATCTCAATTCTTGGTATTCAAACCCAGTCAAGTCATGAACCTTTACGGTCAGCCGGCTAGTTAATTAGGTAAATGAGACCATTAATATCTGTGGACAGAATTAGTCATTCTGGTCAGAGCTGGATTTCTTGTTTTGTCTGGACGAGGTTCATTAGTCTGTAGTTCCTCCGGTTACCTTTGAGTTTGTGCTCAGAGACAGTTTCAACCAGGAGTTTGTATTTTCAGCTCTAATTTCATAAACGCCTGAGTGACCCAAAGGTTTGGGTTTCTCAAGCAGCCGCACAGAACCATCTTGTCATTGGACCAGGGCTGCAGTCCAACCAAAAACCAATGGGCTGTAACTCTGACCAACTCTTTAACGTACAGCTGCTTCGTCCCTGTCTGATGCTATAGGAGACATTGTTTTTCCTTTTTGAATAAACTTAATTGGAAAGATAGTTCCCACAGAAATGTTTCCATGATCACTGAGTCAACTGATGCTCAGTCAGAACAGTTCAGACCAGATCCAGCAGCTTAATTCAGAGGTATAGGTGTGTACATGCAGGTGGATGGTATATACCTGCCCATATACTTACCAAAACACAGCTACAGATACCTTTCAGTGCACATGTTACAGTCCTTCATGTACAGAAGTGGAAGCCAAACAGCCTGAGTACATTTTTTTTTTGCCAATTAAGTATTAAATAAGCTTCTGTAGCAAAAATAAAAGGTCCATTGAAGCTGCAGCGAACCCACCCACCAAAACACCAACACACCACTGGTTCGCTCCTGTAGAGCCGTGGCAGGTCGAGACTCAGGTCACCCAAGACACAAAAAATAAAGTCTGAGATGTCTGTATCAAAACCTGGTGTAAAGTTTGTGGTGCTCACAGATTGGAAGTTTGGAAGATTTTAATTTTAAGAGTAACTCTTAACACCAGGTACAACAGCTGTGTTTTATTGTCTTCTCTGGTTTAACGTTGTCAGAATTGTGCACACACATGAGCTAATGAGGCTGGTGTCAGAAGCACTGACTGACTGACCACACCTGACCACGCACAGCTGGGGTGATGGGTGTGGTGAGAGGTCGGGCAGATTTAAAGGTGCCCTGTGGAGGTTTCTTATAAACTGAGTCATGTTTACATTCAGTGGTTTTCACCAAATCACACTGGTTCTTAAAAAACATGAACACATTTGCTCCCTCATAAAACCTCTGCAGAGCCAAGTTGGAAATATTTAAAATCTTATAGTGTTTCCATCAATGTTTGTGAGTCTCCTTCTTCTTCTTCTTCTTCTTCTTCTTCCTCTTCTTCTCTGAATTTGTTGGTGCATCAAAAATTTGCATGTTGATGGAATAGCATGAAAGCTGGTGGCAGGAATGTGAAGCCATCGTGTCATGAGTGAGATAGAAATAAACCAGAGACCCACTCGTAAAAAAAAACAAAAAACACAGAGCAACTTTAAAGCGCGGTCACATCAGATTCCTCTTCAGTTAAACTGGCCCGAACAAGGATGAAGTCACAGTTCATATGTGGGTGATGAATAAATATTGGGCAAAAGTGATGGCTCATCACTAAAATACGAATGTCTCCATTTTCCAGACACAGTGCATCACTCTTTCTATTGGCCGACTGTGTCAACAGAAACACAGAGACAGAGAAGAAACACTTGAATTCATCAGGTTTCAATCCAAGTGGATGAAAGACAGAGGAAATATTTACAAGATCAAACCCACGGAGATCAGTTTCCCTCACAGAAGTGGAATTAGTCTTTAAAATATGAAATAACAGCATCTTGTTCTGTCCTCGTTACTCTGGATAATCCACAGAGGATCACTGGAACTGTTGATTATTCAGAGTAACAACACATGCTGCACCATTCACCTCCATTATATTTGGGTGGAGGCAGGAAAGACACCTCTAGAGGGATTGAAGATAATTAGTTTTTGCAATTAGGGCGAACTGAAGCTTTAATCTGTTCTGAGACATTTTCTCTCATATTATAACTGAACTTTATTTAAAGCTCTTTCGATCTCACTTTCCTTTTATTTCTCTCACTTTCTTCCTCTTTAACTCTAAAAAGAAAACACTAATTAAAGTTAATGATCACCTTCATCATGGATTCATCTGCTGATTATTTTGATGTGAAATCAGTTTCCCCAAAGCCCAAGAAGTTTTACAACTGCTAAATATTCAGTTTTTAATTATATGAAACAGTGAAAAGCAGCAAAGCCTCAAATATGAAGCAATTTATAAAATGTTTGGAAATTTTGCAAGAAAAAAGTTGCTGATTAATTTTCTATTGATTTATTCATTGCTCCAATTGAAGTAATTTATGTTATTAATGATGTTTCTGGAGCTGCCTCAGTGAGTCTTACAGGAGCCAATTAAATTAATTAAAATTAATTAAGTAATTAATTAGTAACCTTTACTTTGGAGTGTAGCCTAAATATCATTGCCATTATCAGTCAGCTGATGAGGCTTTAATTAGCTCATAGTGCAACTAATGATGAGTTTTATCATCTAATAATTTGCAGTTTTTCAATTAATTGTATCATCATTTACTTGATCTCATGTCCAAAAGTAGCAAAATATGCTCCTTGATATTTAATTTAATTTAATTTATACGTTTTGACTTTAAATTGTAAAAGAACTTTGAAAAGTATAAACTATGAACTTCAGAAAAAATAACAACAAAATAAAGAGGAGAAATGAATCAGTTTGTGAGTTAATTAGCCTTTAGATCCATTTAAGGATTAATTAAGAGGTTAATTAGTGCACGGACCGGGAGCCACTCACCCAGCAGCCCTTCAAACTGCTCGATGGCCAGCACCGCGTTGTCCTGCGTGCTGTGGTGGAGGTGGTTCGGCATCTTGGTCATGTTCCACGGCATGGACCGGCACAGCGGGATCCGCACCGGCTCGCAGGACGCCGCCCGGACCGCAGCCGGCCACAGCGCGCAGGACACGGCCAGCAGAGACACGGAGAGTCCCGGGGAGAGCATGTCTGTCGGTTCGGTTCGGCTCGGATCGGTGCAGTTGAAGTCACGGTGAAGTCTCGGTCATTCACACTGAGTTAAATCCAGAGCAGGGACGTGATTTTCCTGCTGATTGCCGCCGCTGCTGTCCGGTCTGCAGGCAGCTCGAGGAAGCGGGAGGAGCCGCTTTCTTATTCAGACTTTCACCTCCTCCTCTTCCTCTATCCCTCCCCTCCTCTCTCTCCTCTCCTCACCTCTCCTCTTTGTTCCTCCCTCCTCTGCCCTCTCTTCTTTCCTCCTCCTGCTCTCCTCTTATCCTCCATACTAAAAGACAGATTCCTTTTAGATGAAAAGTCAACACCGCTAAAGCCGCTAAAAGCCCGTAGATGTGCGCGTCAGTACATTTCATGAAGTCAGTTAAGTGAAAGTGCCAATACACCAATGTTACAAGTGAATGATCTGCATGCAAAAGTACAAGTATTATCATCAAAATGTAGTTAAAATATTACAGTAAATTGTCCCTGTGACTGATCCTGAGTCAGCAGCATTTCACTGTTGGAGCCGCAGATGGACTTTTCTCTAATCTGCACTTTATTGTGAAATATTGGACAGTTATTGAAATTAAACCATGTAAGAAGTTTAAAGGGGAAACGTCTGAATAACTCAACATGACAAGGATATTGATTTAATCTTAACTATGTTCTGTATTTTATCAGCATGTTATATGTTCTTGAGGTTTGGCTTCATCTGTCACCTCTAATGAAACTTTAACCAATAATCCCAAAGTCCTGACCAGATTCAAACACAGACTGAAGTTACTGAGTTCCACTGAATCAGTTTTTATACCATGATGTCCACTGCACTGCACATTAAAGCTCCATATTTTCTTCTTCTTCTGTGTTTTAATTGAAGTGTTGATCCATAAGAAGATATGTTTGTTTAAGTAACAAAAACCATCTCAGTGTAGTTTTACATCTCCTCTCTCAGGCTTCTCTCTGGAGCTCTAGTAACAACAGGTCTGTGAGCCAATCAGAAGAGAGGAGGCTCTGAGCCTCTCTTCTGATTGGCTGCCTGCTTTCTGAGTGATCCAATGAAAATATATCAGCTTTCAGGTAAAAACACTCAGAGAAACCAAATCCTGCAAGGTTTGGATGGTGGGTCCAGGTGGGCGGGGCTTGGTGACTGCTTTGTTGTGACATCACAAAGTTCCAGAAGTCCTGACGGCTGGTTTTAAGGCTCAGTTTCTGAATACAGGCTGTGTGCATTTCTCTGTGGACTGAGGCTTTGATACTTTCACAGTATTAATATAGAAGCTAGAGCTGATCTATTAGTGACCTTTACACTGGAGGAGCTTTAAGGAATATTACTTTTTGATTTCATTTGATTTCATTTAATAATTCATGCATGACACAACAATATTCAAATATCCCAACTTTTTGGGAATGACTGGAGTCTAGTTGTGTCTCGTCATGTTTCAGATTGTTTCTTTGAGTTTTTGAACATTTTCCCTCTACACCTCTTGCACAGTTTCATTTAAATAACTGTTTGAATCTCAAAACGTCAAAAACTGCCCAATATTCCACCACAAATCAATGATAAAAGCTCAAAAATAATCATGTATATAGATGTATCAGAATGTAATTAGTTTATTTAAGTAAATAATCTGAATACTATGAGACAACAGTCTTGTCATACTTGTTTTGTGTCTCATATATTCATTTGATTGACTTGTAATAAGAAATGTGACCATTTCATACAGAGGCTCTGGTGTAGGGGCCCCAGACCCCTCGAGGCCTCTGGTTCAATAATCCATACATGCTTCCACCACTGCATCAGGCTGAAGCACAGTTAGCTGCAGGCTTGATATGAAGAAGACTACACCTCCCAGCATGCCCTACAGGAACCCTGCTGTCCACTTATGATGCCAAACCCTGGGTAAAATAAAATCATCGGACTATCAAGTGTTTAAGTGGATTAATGACTTAAACAGGTGTCAACCAATCAGGGAGCTGATTGACAGTGATGTAACAGTTTCACTGGTTCACTGGCAGATGTTGACCTTTGACCCCTGGTAGGCTTGTTGCATTAACAGCTCCGTTATTGGACCATTAAAGCTGAATATGACGCTGCAAACTGCAACTGTGTGTGTGTGTGTGTGTGTGTGTGTGTGTGTGTGTGTGTGTGTGTGTGTGATAGCATAATGGTTGTCAGATGTTGGAGGAGCTTCCCATGTTAGGGTTGAGTTACAGCCAACACACACACACACACACACACAAAGGGTCTCTCTGGGTTTTCTGACTCATGGATCAACATGCAGAAAACTGAGTCAGCACTTTCTCTTCCATCCTTCCTTCCCTCCTTCTCTCCTTCCCTCCTCTCCTCCTCTCTGTCTTTCTTCATTCTCATGATTTCATCTCTGCACGTGTATTAGTGTTTCTGACGTAAAAGCCTCTCGCATTTGGCAGGATAGTTTTATCACACACACACACACACACACACACACACACACACTGAGTGAAAACACTATCATCTCCTAGTTCCCTTTCCCTCTCTTTGCCTCTTTACTCCTTGCTTCCTATCTTCATGTCTCCTTCCCTTGTCTCCCTTTCTCTCCTCTTTTCTCCTTGTGTCCTTGTCTCCTCTCCTTTCCTCTCTCTATCTCTCATCCCCCATATTTCCTCTCTTGTCCTTTTCTCTCCTCATCTCTTCTCTTCTACTCTCCTCTTTTCTCCTTGCGTCCTCTCCTCTTCATTTTACATCAACTAAAGGAAGACTGGATATTTT